CAAAATGATCTGGACAAATTGGAGAAATGGTCTGAGGTAAACAGGATGAAGTTTAACAAAGACAAATGCAAAGTGCTCCACTTAGGAAGGAAAAATCAGTTTCACACATACAGAATGGGAAGAGACTGTCTAGGAAGGAGTACAACAGAAAGGGATCTAGGGGTTATAGTGGACCACAAGCTAAATATGAGTCAACAGTGTGATGATGTTGCAAAAAAAGCAAACGTGATTCTGGAATGTATTAACAGGTGTGTTGTGAGCAAGACCTGAGAAGTCATTCTTCCGCTCTACTCTGCTCTGGTTAGGCCTCAGCTGGAGTATTGTGTCCAGTTCTGTGCACCGCATTTCAAGAAAGATGTGGAGAAATTGGAGAGAGTCCAGAGAAGAGCAACAAGAATGATTAAAGGTCTTGAGAACATGACCTATGAAGGAAGGCTGAAAGAACTGGGTTTGTTTAGTTTGGAAAAGAGAAGACTGAGAGGGGACATGATAGCATTTTTCAGGTATCTAAAAGGGTGTCATAAGGAGGAGGGAGAAAACTTGTTCACCTTAGCCTCTAAGGATAGAACAAGAAGCAATGGGCTTAAACTGCAGCAAGGGAGGTTTAGGTTGGACATTAGGAAAAAGTTCCTAACTGTCAGGGTAGTTAAACTCTGGAATAAATTGCCTAGGGAGGTTGTGGAATCTCCATCTCTGGAGATATTTAAGAGTAGGTTAGATAAATGTCTATCAGGGATGGTCTAGACTGTATTTGGTCCTGCCATGCGGGCAGGGGACTGGACTCGATGACCTCTCGAGATCACTTCCAGTCCTAGAATCTATGAATCTGTGATTTTGTCAAACTGATGGAATTTTACTTTTTCTTGTTGATTTTTTCTGTTCTGACAAACCTTTAAAATAATATCTTCTTTCAAATCTGCTGCTTTCTTTTGAAAGTGACCTGACGTATTCACACGTGCTTTCACAAGTACATTCCTGTAATTCAACTTTCCTCTGTCCCTCTTAAGACTTTCTCATTGGCACTGTCAAATAAGTCACTGTAGTGTCATTGAATATTCATACTTTTCTATGTGAACATACAGTCTGTTTCCCCTATTTTCTCTTTCTAGCTACCAATTTTCACGTTGTTTAAGTGTTGTGCATAGTACCTTCTAATCTGGTCCCTGTTAGAATGGTGGTGTTTTTTGTTTTTATTTGTTGCTGAATTCATTTAGGATACTTTCCTTGTGACCCCTCTTTCTTTTCTGTCTAGCAGATGGCATCTCTACTGACTTCCACTAGCACCTGTCTGAACTGACTATATTAGGAAAACACAAAGTATCTGTAATAATGTCATCCATAAAGTGATGAAATAAATATACTCCATGAATCTTGAAAGAATTAAGGTGATTATAGCTGATCCTGTAGCTTTTTGGATTACTGCATATGCTATTATGATGAATTTTAACATTACACGAATCAGACTGTGTAATTGTTGTGTGTACTGTTAATTTATATGTAAACTGAATAATTTTTGCTATCCTTACCATCAATATGCACAATTTTGCTCCTAGTGCATCTGTTCATAGACACTGTTAATGACATGTCACGGTTACAAAAATATTAACCTCAAAAAGCTAGTTTTGATTTACATTTAAATTGCAGCGGTACCTTTAAATAGCTACATGTAGCATTTTGGTTTATAGCATATTCAATACTTTGTTTCTATAACTTTGTGTCCGTATATAATATTTTATATGTTCAAAGCAGTGTTGTAGTGGTAAAAAAAGAAGTGGGTAAACTAACCTAAACTAAACTCCACATTCCCCAAATGAGAAGTGGATAAATTCCATTTGCCTGTGTTTATCCACAATGCTACTGGTTCAAAGTGCATTGTATTCTTTGCATAAGGACCTCTGTCGATAAACAGCCTCCCTCCTCCTCAGAAACAGAATGGCATACAAAAGCTGTTAGAAACAAATTCTATATATTTAATCCTTCCATACAGCACTATCATAAGTTTATGATATATAGACCTATAGATTCTATTGTCCATCTGAGATTATCCCATGTCAGTGATAATTACTACAGGAGAACCACATTATTCTATCATATAATAAGTGCATGTGATGGCAGCATCACCTAATATTCCATATTCCTGCAATTTTTGGTAAGAGATTAAAAAAAAAGGTAACAGTTTACAATTAAATTACATATTTTGAATTTTGAAAATCTAAAATGATTAGAACTACTCTATTCAGTGATTGTGAGACCACTATTTTCAACACATGCTATTTCTTATTATGGAACCTATATTTATTCTAATTATTGACTAATCTTACCATTTCTTCTTCTGGCTAAAATCATGCTAACCAAAAATAAAAATAAAAAAAATAAGTATGTGTCATTAGCGAAAACCATGATTTATAATGATAAAATAAAAAATGATGCTTTGATAAATGTAGAATCATCAAATTTTATGTATGTGTTCCAATTCTCTCTTCAAGATCCTCAATAGTTTGTCATTCTCCTAAATAACAGAGGTTATATGCCTGTTTGTATACTGAAAATACATTTAATACCCATATTTATATAGCTCTTCAAATAACTACACACATGTGGTCATTTCAATGACCAGGGAAGGAACCTGGGAAGTACTTCACTGAAGATGCTGGATAAGGCCTAGGAGGAGAGATTCCAAAGCAAAAAAATGGCTGAGGGAAAAGTGAAGTAAGGTGGGTCTTTCTTTGAGTGGACAGTTACTTCATAGTTTAGGTACCTGGGCTGGAGGCTGGACTAGAGGGTGAGACTGGACTCCCACTTGCTGCTACCTCATGGAAGTGGAAATCCCTGCAATGAAGAGAAAAGATGCTGTAGTGCAGAAGGGGGAGAAGGCAGACAGGTCCTCAAGGGAGGACAGTGATCCAGTAAAAAGACTTGGAGATTTGATGGTTTGTTTTTAATTTCCTTTGAACTTCTACTTGGGGCTCATGCTGCCCTGGAGGAACTCAATCGTCCAACCAAACTACCCCACCACCAGAGTGAGACTTTGGCCCAGTGTGGGGAAACTGTCAGCTGTGCATCTTGACAGAGAGAGGTCAGCCGCCTTTCTACAATACCCAAATTAGATGTTAATTAACATGAAGCCAAAGACATGCAGGTACAGTTATATGAATGATTTGGCTATCTAAGTGCCCTTGTGGTTATTTGAATAATTGTAAATTAAAATATAGGAATTCAGTTATGGAAATGATCAGCTATCCAAGTAAATACTCCTGAATTTATTGGAAATAAAACTGATGTAATTCAAAGTTTTGCACAGATTTCCATGGAGCCAGGATTTCACGTTTGCTGTTTATCTCAATGTACAAAAGTTACTTGGCATCTGATCCTGGAATTAGCTCCATTGCCCCATTGGCCTTTAAGCCTTATTAAGTCCCTGCTCCTATTGAAATCAATGGCAAAACTCCCATTGGTTTCATGGTACAGAGTCTGGCCCCATTCTGGTAAATAATTGGTAGACAGTGACATTATGCATGTATAGTATATGATTTTCAAATGAATATACCATTGTTTCTAATTCCAGCGTATTAAAATGCTAAACCAATGTGAAAACCTCAAGTTTTGCTTTGATTTTAAAAATGTCAAAAATAGCCTTATTTTGCATTAAAAAAACAACACACAACAAAACCTAACTCAAAAACTGAATGTTTACGAGATATTTCTCTGAAACAGGACCAAATAAGGGCAAGAGTATCACATTTCTGAAAAGTGTGAAACTTCTTTCAATTGAAAGTAAATTTTCCATGAGTACATGCAAAACTTTGATTTTTTTTCATGTTTTTATGTGAAACAGGACAGGCCATTTCATGGAAGTTTTGAGAAAGGAAAAAATATCAAGAACTAAATGAGACAGAGAGAGAGAGAGAGAGAGATGCTTTTGTCACCTTTGTACAACTATTTTTGAACGAATGTATTACACAAGTTGAAGGTACCACACTTCACGTGTTCTCATTTTGTTTTCAAACATAACTTCCTTTAACAAAATACAGTGCTGGGGTGGGCAGGACTATACTTTAAAAACTGCAGCTGTGCCACTGCAGTGCTTTAGTGCAGATGCTGCTATGCCAACAGGAGAACTTCTCCTGTCACCATAGTTAATCCACCTCTACAAGAGGCAGTAGCTATGTTGAGAGGAGAAGCCCTCCTGTTGACACAGTGCTGTCTCTATCAGGGTTAGGTCGGTATAACTGTCGCTCGATGGTGTGGATTTTTCACACCCCTGAGCAACCTAGTTATATGGATGCAAGTTTATAGTGTAGACCTGGCCTAAGAAACTGCTCTTGGAAAGTTATTAGCAACTCAGACTTCAAGATGGCCCTAAATATCCTCCCTCCTCAGCTCTGGGGAAAGTTTGGATTTGCATCTGGAACCAAATTCTGTTGACTGGACACCTCACTACCAAAAAGAGGTTTAGAGCTGAAGAGCCGTCTCCCATCCCTGCACATTGAGGGTGCAATACATACACCTGGTCCTTCCATGGGTGCACGATGGGGAGGGGAGGAAGGGCATAAAGAACCTCTTCCTCCTCTCCCTGCCACCCTCACTTGCACGGGAGCCCTCCTCTAGGAACTGGCACCCAGGTTCAGAATGTGGCCTATATGCTTTCAGAGGAATCCAGATACAGAGAAGTCTCAGTGAATGAGGGCCTGGGCTAGGGTGCCCAGATAACAAATATGAAAAATCAGAATTGCGGGCGGGGGGGGGGGGAGGTAATAGGCACTTATATAAGAATAAGCCCCAAATATTGGAACTGTCCCCATAGAATCGGGACATCTGGTCACCCTAGCCTGGGCACCTGCCCCATCTTCCTCTCGCCACACAGTCTGCAGCCAGCTAGCTCCAAGCTGTGCAGCAGCTGAGCGCTCTCCTCCAGCTCCCCCCACCCCTCCAGGAACAGGTCCTACAGCTCCCCCGCAACCCAACCTTGCAACCCAAAAACCAGGTAAAGGGCTCTGCCAAAACGACCAATCAGGTGCTTCGATCCAAGCAGCCAGCCAATGGGAACTCCCTTGGAACCGCACCAATGGTGGGCTGCCTATTCAGGCAGAGACGCGTGAGCTCTACCCCGCGGGGACGGAAGTGGGTGCGGGGCCCGGCTGCTGTGCAGTGAGCGCGCGGCGGTGCCTGCTACTCGTCTCCCAGCATGGCCGGGCTGAGCAGCGGCAGTGGCAGCGGCGGCGGCTCCAGCCTGGGGCGGTGCAGCCACGTCGTGGTGCGGGCGCCGCCCGAGTCGCTGCCCCAGCACGCGCTGCGGATAGAGAAGAGCAAGGAGGTGGATTTCGCCCGGGCCGAGCGGGAGTACCAGCTCTACGTTGGGGTGCTCAAGAACAAGCTGGGGCTGCAGGTGCTGGAGCTGCCGGCCGACGAGAGCCTGCCCGACTGTATCTTCGTGGAGGACGTGGCCGTGGTGTGCGAGGAAACCGCCCTGATCACCCGGCCGGGGGCCCCCAGCAGGAGAAAAGAGGTACCAGCTGCAGGGGGAGTGGGGGAGGGAGGCTCGCTGAGCACGGGCGGGGCTCCAGCCCTTGAGCCCCACCTGGGGAGAGCTTCTCCCCCCTCAACCCCCAGTCTCCGCGTGGTCTCCTCTAAGATCTCTGTAACTTCCCGGGCGGGGGCAGAGCCCATGGTCCCCAGAATCCCAGGCTGGGTCATTTTCTGGTCGGACTTCCTCTGTGACGTTTTATTTTAACTTAATGCAGAACAGAGCCGGTGCAAATGCACGGAATTAAACCGAAGATCTCTGTGGGAAATGTTTGCAAGGAATATCTGTTCCGGGAAGGCAGCAGTGTATACAGAGTGCGGTGCTGTAAGGCGTGGCAGGTTGGTGGCATGATGGGAGAGGAGAGTCAGAAGATGCTCAATGCACTTGCAGTCTCTCTTTCCCACAATGAACTCCAACCTGAGTGCTTATGAAGAAGCTTTCCCATTCTTAGCACAAAAGCCAAGCTTGGGAAGAACACGTCTGACTTAGTTCTCAGTCGTGCAGTGAATCACCTACAATTTGTATCAGAAAGAAAATGAATCCAGATGTATGTTCTTCTTGTCTTGGCAGTGCTGTAATGTTGACTGCAAATTGACTAGTTTGAAAAACGGATCTAGTCCTGTTTCTTTCGCAACTAGTTGTGCTTAACAAACATGTCAGGATGTCTATCATTTTGTTGCACGAAATAGATCGCTCTGATGTGTTTTAAGACCTCCTGAAGCCCTTTATAGTAAATCACAGCAGTTTTTTGTAAGTTTAAACACAATCCAGGGAGGTGATACAAAAATGTTACAAAAAAACAATAACAACTCCAGATATATGCAACACTGCACAAGACTCAATGTGAATCTAATACATGTGTAGATGTAGTATAAATCTAAATTCACTCTTACGTTAGAGAAACTGGATGGAAACATTGAATTTATTCCGTTTCACTAACATTTCTATTGAATGTGTATTACTCCTTTAAAACACTGAAAGATGGTGTGTGCAGTTTTGTGGGTTTTTTTTACATATGAACAAACAAAAATGCACACCTACATAATTTAGTGTGACATATGTCCCTATAACAGATAATATATCAATATATTATATTAAAGTGTTCATCTTATTAATTCAGCAGGTTGTATAAGCACTGTATTGCAGTTTTGAGTGCAGAAATTTAATATCTTTCCTGGGTGTAGCCCTTGTGATGGTGGTCAGGGCATGTGTACACTAGCGTTAAGCACACTTTTAAAATGTGCAGTCAGTTTAGTTTCTCAAATACACTTAAATATAAATTGACTAAAAAGCCATTGTCACAGTCAGAGAATATTTGAACTTACTGTGCAACACTTTTTTAAATAGTGTGATCTCTAGGGATTCTAGGTGTCTTGGATGCTTGGGATTCAATAATTTAAGTGGGCTTCAGTGTTTTCTTCTTCATTAAGCTGTAATACCACCCTCCATCTTCATATGTGTTTATGACCATTCTAAGTCACATCTTCACTTGGAGTCCTTCAACAGTGCATTAATTAAATAGTATTTCCCCCCTTTTCATATAAGAGGATATCTAATAACACTCCTCCCAGTTTCAGGTTACTGGTGTACCCTATACCCAGGGCAGAAGTGGCTCATGTCAGGAAGCACCTTTGCATTCAGTTCAGACAAGCAGGGAGAAGATCAGCCAACCAGAAAATGAAATAAAAGCAGTCAGCAAAGGATGATTTGGGAAAAGTCTGAAGCAGATTAGCAGCTAAGAGAAATCAGGGAGTTAGATAATACAATAACAACTAAGATCTGTCATGGAAGAATAATTCTCTGTTACAAATAATTAGTACTTTATTTTAGTAGAAGTGTTTTAAACAGCACGCTGTATAAATCTGCACAACATTTTTATTGCTTGCTCTTGCCATTCCTCAGTAAAGATTTCATAGAATGTAGGGAAATGGTTGCAAGTTGTTAAGAGTTTATTATTTTTGCATCATATTTACTAGTGTGTTATGAATAGTTATCAATAAATTACTACAATGTAAACTTGGACTCGTTGTTTCTCTTTTCAGTTTTAATTTGCAGTATTTATTAACCTGCACAGTACAATAATTCATAATGGGTCTTCAGTTTTTGGTGCAAATTAGTAATAGTTCTGATATATTCAGAATAAAATGCTTTTTATAAAGTGTTAAGTGTATCTTAATCTCTCACATTTCAGGACATTCAGAACAAAGATGCCTATGGTCACCTTTACCCAGCCTTTTGTGTGCATATGAGTTATTTGTGTCAATACATATAATTTTAACATGAATGCCTTAAACCCAATTGTGCAGTCATGGTGCACCTATGATTTCTGTATGGTAGAAACCAGTGGAAAATCTTGGGCACAGGAATGGAGACTCTGGCATTTAACAAATAGGGGCAAGTGACTCAGTTACTGAGTTACTGCTACAGGAACATTTGCTCTGAAATTCCAGTCTTTATGTTTGACACTTCAAACCTGTTCATCAAACCAGTTCCCTCTCTGCATTCAAATGCATCGTAAACTAATTTCTGTCACCTTGCCTCTAATAAGTGAGATGGGGTTAGGGAATAAAATGTACCTCCTCCCCCCCCACCAAGTTGGGAACATGTCTTACTGTGTATTCACATCATCTTTATTCAGAGTAGCAGCCGT